TCAACCTGGAGGTCTGATTCAAGACCAGTACAACGAGGAGTGAGAGTGAGAACAGCCGCACGAACCCGAACTGCTGCTTCCTCACAACACGCGTACCTTCAATACAGACACCGCGATGTAAACAGTGTGTAACAATGACAGCGGAGGATTAGGCAGCATTGGAGGCATTGAATAATAGGCAGCGATTAAATATGTTTGAACATAATCCGATAATGTTTATTTGTCTCGTGTTGTGTAAGGATAATGTTGCATCATTGTGGGCAGAAAAGCTTTGGGAAACATTTACACAGGCCTGTTTTCCATCCTGCAGCAGCAAACGAAACAGGCAGGTTAACCTGAAGGCAACAGGGATTGGTGGAGGGGGGCATTGTGTTCAGTACACCGCCCCTGGTGAGGAGGACGTGTCTGGATCCAGTCGCCTCGCTCCCACATGAAGTGAAAAATAAAAGAGAAATGAGTGAAAAACATGTTGAGCAAGCTGCATCAGTAAAATTAACGAGACACTGAAGGCGGTAAGCCAGTTCTGTCACCTCTGACCACACGACTTAAATATATTAACTAGACAGACTGTCGCCCTCCCCGCCGTGACCTCACCACACACACACACACCACAACAAAACACTTCCCCAACATCCACCAAACACACACACACACACAGCACACACACATCACACACACACAACACACACGTCTCTCAGCCTCTGGAACATCCCACCCTCACAAGGGACACCACCCGCCCCTCCATCTCCCATCCCATTCCCCAGCTGGAACAGCGCTGGTCTCCGTGGCGACGGGGTCTTCCGTGGCGAACAGGTGCACCTTGTCTTCCAGGGCTGCCAGAGTGGATTAGCGGGGCTCCTCTGGAAAAGGCCTCACTAATGGAATTAGCAGCAGCAGCTGCAGATGAAATGGAAAAAGATAATCCGGCACAACGCCGTCTGGAGATTAAGAGACGACCGCCTTAATCAGGAAAACAAACGACAGCAGGTCCTTCAACACATCTGGGCCCAGGGAGCATGAAAGAGAGAAGATACACTAGACACCTCTTGAATGCCACAGGAGGGACGAGAGATGGATAATCTGAAAACTGATCAAATTTGTGGTCACGTGTGGCAAACGTTAATATGTGTTTGTTCCATTTCATTCATTGATTTCAACATATTATTGGGCGCGCGTGATCAAACCCAGGTGCAGAAAGACGTCTTTTCAACAGGTTTTTCCCCCACATCTGGATGAACAGGAGGCCCAGACCGCCTGATCGGCAAACATCAACCCACTAATTGCTTCTCGTGTTCTTGAACGGAGTTTAATCCTCTGCAGCCAGTTCCAAATCTGGGTGGGAAAGCCTGAATCCAGAAGAGTGGAGGCTGTTAAGCCAGCAGCAGATTAATGCCCGTTGGTTGGAAATTATGCTCAAACACACATGCAAGCAAAAGTCTTACTGAACCTCTCTCTGCAGCACAACACAGTCCGTGAAGGCTAGCGCCTCCTCCAGATGTAAAGGCTCTGAGAGTGAATACGGTCAGATGCGTTGAAGGACGTTAAGCCCAGATGCTCGGTGCGCATCTGAGACTACTGGTTTTGGGTACCCAACTCGTTGGTTTGGAAGCAGCCTAACAAGCCAGTTCACTTCCAAGCTGAACCCTTTAAGGACTGAATTCTAACATCTTTAAATCACCACTTTGTCTTCTGTGAAGGAAGAAAAGAAGCGAGTCGGGTTTATGCGGGATAAACGACTTATGTATTTCTATTCACGTAGAGAGTTAAGCAAAGAATTGCTGTTAATTATGGGCCCATGCAAGTTTCCCTTCTGTATATTCTCATAGCTGCACAGTTGCTTGAATTACAGTTGTGTTTATAGACAGTAGGTGTCTATATTGGAAGCATTCGGTTGTGTGTATTGATTCGGCAATTTGGTGGTGGTTTTGTTGTTTGAAAGTTGAGGTCTTCTGGTGCGAGATGCGAGCATAGTAGTTTTCAATGGATTTATATTGTGAGGGTGGTCCAAGCGAACACCCAAATACAAGTGAGGAAATGAAAAGAAGAGGAGAGACAGCGCGCAACTCGATCACGCAGAGACAAAGATGGATTCACAGAGACAATTGTCTCAGAACACGCATGAACGTTTTTGCGTGTTCTGGTTAAGGTGTTTGTTGGTGTAGATGTGCTGATGCATGGATCTAGGAGATTTCGCGAACTGAAGTCCTTTCAATCACTCTGTAGACTTAGAGCTCGCCCATCGTTTTAAATGCAGAAAGTTTACTCAGAAGATGAAGACTGCAATTTTTGGCTTTTCTGCTGTTTCTCTCTCTCTTCTCCAGCCTTCGTCTTTGTCCTGAATGCTCCACTCGCGACAACGTTTACAGACGTCACCCAGCTGTGAGGAGAGGAAAGAGTGAGCGGAGCTCTTTCAGTACGCAGCGGCCTACGTCCCTCCGAATCGAACAAGACAGACAGGCGCTGTGCTGACAACCATCACACCCCCACCCAGGGGTGATTAGAAGACACCACAACACACACACACGCCGGGTAAACAAATGCACGCAGGAATGGCATTAACCGTCCTCAGGCCCCTCTTTCATTAGGCAAACCTAACCCCGGGAGTCGTCCTGTTGGCTGCTGTTTACATAACAAAAGGGCATCCTCTTTGAGGGCGAAGTGAGTCAGGCGACTGAACAAACGGCAGCATCAGAAAAACACAGAGCCGCTCTGCTTATGAAAAAGGATGAACCTAAAAGTCCTATTATCCTCGGCGCTGACACGCGCTCTCCGCTCGCAATAAGCTGCGCAAGATTTTGGCTCATTATAGCAACACTTAATGGGTACAGTGATAGAGAGTAGGAGCAGACGGTCCTGTTCACATCAGACGTAACTGCCCAGACTTTGATTGTGGCAATCCTCCATCAGCTCGAGACGCACCGGTCCTCTAACCAACATGTTCAACTCCTTGCCCCTCCGCACTAACGCTGAACCCGTCTGCTCCCGCCGCCTAACCTCTACCCACGCACCGCGGTCGCCGACCTTCACACACCGGAGGACCGCGTTCTCGACTCGTGCAACCCCGCACGGCCCACACCACCGCTCGATTGCTTTTGATCTTCAGATTTCAAGAATGGAAGCGGCGCTTTGATCAGATTTCATCTCCACTTTGTTGCAACATTTAATTAGACACGCTGGCTCTGAGACACAAAGCACGAGAGTGAATGAGGAGGGGACGGTGCCGATTCGTGTAGAGGTCTGGACGGTGCCAGATGTTAGGGCCAAGCTGGATACAGCAGTCGCACTCACGACGCTCGTGCGTCCGTTGATCAGACTGTACTGACTCTTCTTTTGATAGAGTTTCTCCGTCCATCACGCACTAGTCACCGCGTGGATTCTGATTTTAACGACACTTAATTCACTAACACAGTACTCACACATTGCAAGCGAACATTTTATGGTCACGATTGATAAGTTGATTCAAAACTGAAATTTAATTGGCAACATCCTGACTATAAGTGATCGGATTATATAGACAGACAAGGATAAACTGACGGGCTGTTTATGCAAGAGAATGTTTGTATTAAATAGCGAACTTCAGGGTGGAAATATTTCTCTGTCGGGAGGGATTATCTCATAGGTCCGTGAGTGTTACTTTCACGTCTGATTGTCCGCTTATATATGAACAAGTAATGTGTGATTACATATCAAGTTGCGGACATATAGGACTTACGTGTGAGAGCTGACAAATACAGAGAGTATATGCCAAGGTGTGGCGTGATTTATTAGCCTCCGCACTCACGCTGCCACTCTCACGCTCGCTCGGTTGATTACAATCTTCTTGTCGCTGGATCAACTTCTAGGTGTGATATTATATGATGCTACCCTCACGTTGAAGCAGTGATGTCATCGAAAATTCTCATTATATATACTAATACAGAGTGACGTCTGAAGTTATAAATGAGCGTCTAACAGATTTATGTAGTTTGTGTCATGACTCGTTCGTGGTATTATAATTAAAGGTGCATCGTTTGGTTCAAGAGAGTGTGAGTGCGTATGATGAGAGTGTTCATGATTAATATCGTAGATGACACTAGATTGCCACATTAATTTAGAACACACTTTGACAGTTTGTCTGGAGTCTGGTTGTTTATTTGCAGAAATCATTACGCTGATAAAAACATCTGGAAACCCCTTTTTCAGTTCTACAAAGACAGAAAATGAGCAGCACAAGGATACGTGGCGTTCCCTCGGTGCGGCACACCAGGTAGAGACAGGCGGCGATGACGTGCGAGGACTTGCGGCCGCGGGTCAGGTGTTTGGTGAGCGCCATCCTGTAGAAATTGAAAGCCGTGTCCAAACAGTGCTTGTTCATCTGCAGCTGTTGACCCAGAGTGTTGATTGTGCTGTTTGGCTGAGGACACACACACACAACACGCACACACACACACACACACACACACACACACACACACACACACACACACACACACGTCAGTTCAAAGAAAAACAGAGAGTTTTCATTTAAAGAAAACACAAATGCTCAACATCCCATCTGCCTGTTTAATCATTACAGAGACAGAGAAAAACTGCAAAAGACACAGAAAAAGTATCACGAGGCGCAGCGTGTGATTCACTCATAGGATATTCAGCGACTGTGGAATGGCGCATCGTCGTCGCCCATAAACAATGAGAAGTGGTTTTGTTTGAACCTGTCTTGGACACATATAGACAAATTAAAAACCTGAACACGTGGCGTAGAGACAGGACGACGATGCCGCCATCCACAGTCGCTGAATATCCTGATGAGTGAATCACACGCTGCGGCCTCGTGATACTTTTTCTGTGTTTTGCAGTTTTCTTGTCTCTGTTAATGATAACAGGCAGATGGGATGTTGAGCATTTGTGTTTTCTTTAAATGAAAACTCTCTGTTTCTTTGAACTGACGTGTGTGTGTGTGTGTGTGTGTGTGTGTGTGTGTGTGTGTGTGTGTGTGTGTGTGTGTGTGTGTGTGCCCTCACCCAAACCGCACATCAACACTCTGGGTCACCAGCTGCAGATGAACAAGCACTGTTTGGACACGGCTTTCAATTTCTACAGGATGGCGCTCACCAAACACCTGACCCGCGGCCGCAAGTCCTCGCACGTCATCGCCGCCTGTCTCTACCTGGTGTGCCGCACCGAGGGAACGCCACGTATCCTTGCTGCTCATTTTCTGTCTTTGTAGAAGCTGAAAAAGGGGTTTCCAGATGTTTTATCAGCGTAATGATTTCTGCAAAAACACAGACTCCAGACAAACTGTGTTTCTTTATAATGTGAACTGTGCAGCTGCCAGAGGAGTAAAGCATCTTCATAAATCTTTAGATCCCAAGTTGCACATTTTGAACCAAACGTTGCACCCTTCCTCTTCAGCATTATAACCCAGTCGCACCAGACACAACTACATAAATCTGTTAGGACGCTCTTTATAACTTCAGACGTCACATGATAATCAAATTCAGATGCTAATAGGTAATTATTTTCCTAATCTGAGTCTCAAGGTGTAGCCCACAGCTAATTCACTGATTCCATGTAATCACTATACTTCCTGTTTGCATCAGCCAAAGCATGATGGGAACTGTAGTCCCAAATTTCTAATCTTGTTCATCTCAAAAGGGAAATAAGAGTGAAAGAAATAGGATCAGAAAATTATCCGACAGAGAAAGTCCCATCAACGTGGCTGAAACACTGAGTTTCTCCTCTGTCTATACATCACTTGATTATCAGGATTGTTGCCAATTAAATTTCAGTTGATCAACTTATCAATCGATTAATCGTTTTAGCTGTGTGTGAATTAAGTGTGTAAATAAACAGCTGGATGCTGATGGATACACAAAGAATCAGAGTCGAAGGAGCAGGTAGCACGGTTAGCCGTTGGCCCTCGCCCTGCGTGTGTCAGTCTAATTAAATGTTGCAACAAAGTGGAGATGAAATCTGATCAAAGCGCCGCTTCCATAATTGAACAGAGCAGCGTTTCCTGCGTGCACGAGCAAACCTCCTCCGTTTAATCGCACGCTGGCTGTAATTAGCCGAGCAGAAGTTCAGCGTTAGTCGAGGCAAAGTTAAATTTGTTGAACCTGCGTCTCGAGCTGATGGAGGATGGCACATCAAAGTCTGCAGGTTACGTCTGATGTGAACAGGACCGCCTGTCGCCGTCTTAATGTTTCATAATCTGCAAACGGCAGCTTATTGGAGCTGAGAGCGACGTGTCAGCGCCGGGATAATAGGACTTTTAGGTTCATCCTTTTTTCATAAGCAGAGCGGCTCTGTGTTTTTCTGTGCTGCCGTTGGTTCAGTCCTGACTCACTTCGCCTCAGAGGATGCTTTTTGTTATGTAACAGCAGCACAGGACGACCGGGTTAGGTTTGCCTAATGAAAGAGGGGCGAGGACGGTGTAATGCCTTCCTGCTGCATTGTTTACCGGGCGTGTGTGTGTGTGTGTGGGTGTGTGTGTGGGTGTGTGTTTGTCAGCACAGGCCTGTCTGTTTGTTCATGTTCGGAGGAGTGAGGCCGCGGTAAAAATAGCTCCGCTCACTTCCTTCTCCACAGCTGGGTGAGTCTGTAACGTTGTCGCAGGGGAGCATCAGGACAAAGACGAAGGGAGAAGGAGAAGCGGAGGGAAACATTCGTCTCATCTGGACTTTGATTTAACGAGGCAGCCGTACAGAGGAGGACCAGGCGATCTGGATCATGCATCCGGTTTCAGGCTGCAGACGGATCGTTCATCTGTTCTGAACTTGTCTCTTTGAATCCATCTTTTTCTGATCTTTCTCTCGTCTCTTCTTCTTTCCTCTGTTTGTCCTTCCCCTTCAAATAATCCCAGAAACTTATGTTTGCATCCAAGCACCAATTAAAACCATCGAATCAGAACAAAATGCTGTTACCAGCTAGAAAACTGTCACATGCAGCAGAATATACGAAGAAACTTGATGAATAACAGCAATTCTTTGTTAATCTCTGGTGAAATTAAGTCGTTTCCCATAAACCGCTCGCTTCTTTTCTTCCTCCAGAAGACAAGTGGTGATTAAAATGTTAGAATTCAGTCCTTAAAGGGTTCAGCTTGGAGTGAACTGGCTTGTTAGGCTGCTTCCACCACGAGTTTCCCAAAACCAGTAGGTCTCAGATGCACCGAGCATCTGGCCTTAAGTCCTTCAACCATCTGCCGTTTCCTCAGAGCCTTTACTCTGGAGGAGCCGCAGCCTTCACCTGTGTTGTGCTGCAGAGAGAGTTCAGTAGATTTGCTGCCGTGTGTGTTGAGCACTTAATTTCCAAACCACGGGCATTAATCTGCTGCTGTAACAGCCTCCACTCTTCTGGATTCAGGCTTTCCACCAGATTTTGGAACCTGGCTGCAGGGATAAGCTCCCGTTCAGACACGAGAGCATTAGTGAGGTTGATGTTTGCCGATCAGGTCTGGCGCTCCTGTTCATCCCAGATGTGGGGGAAAAACCGTTGAAAAGCGTCTTCATGCACCTGGGTTTGTCACGGCGCCAATATTATGTTGAATCATGAAATGAAATGGACAAACACAAACGTGCACACGTGACCACTTGATCAGTTTCAGTATCCATCTCTCGTCCCTCCTGTGGCATAAGATGTGAGTAGTTTTTTTATTTCTGCTCCCTGGGCCCAGATGTGTTGAAGGACCTGCTGTCGTTTGTTTTCCTGATTAAGGCGGTCGTCTCTAATCTCCAGACGGCGTGTGCCGGGATTATCTTTTTCCATTTCATCTGCACTGCTGCTGCTAATTCCATTGTGAGGCCTTTTCAGAGGAGCCCCGCTAATCCACTCTGGCAGCCTGGAGACAGGTGCACCTGTCGCCACGGAGACCCCGTCGCCACGGAGACCAGCGTGTTCCGAGCTGGGGAAGGGATGGGAGAGGGAGGGGCGGGGGTGTCACTGTGAGGGTGGGATGTCCAGAGGCTGAAGAGGTGTGTGTGTGTGTGTGTGTGTGTGTGTGTGTGTGTGTGTGTGTGTGTGTGTGTGAGGTCACGGCGGGGGAGGCGACAGGTCTGTCAGTATATTTAGTCGTGTGGTCAGAGGTGACAGAGGTGACGCTTCAGTGTCTCGTTAGATTTACTGACGCAGCTGCTCAACATGTTTCACTCATTTCTCTTTATTTCACTTCATGTGGGAGCGAGGCGACTGGATCCAGACACGTCTCTCACCAGGGGCGGGTTATGAAACAATGCCCCCCCCCACCTCACCTGTTGCCTTTCAGGTTAACCTGCTGTTTGTTTGTGCTGCAGATGGAAACAGGCTGTGTAAATGTTTCCCAAAGCTTTTCTGCCACATGATGCAAACATATCCTACACAACACGAGACATAAACATTATCGGATTATTGTCAAACAATTTAATCTGCTGCTATTATTCAAGCACTCCAATGCTGTTAATCTCTCGCTGTCATTGGTTACACACTGTTTACATCGTGCGTGTCTGATTAAGGCGCGTGTTGTGAGGAACACAGTTCGGTTCTGCGGCTGTTCTCACTCCTCCTCGTTGTACGGTCTTGAATCAGACCTCCAGGTTGAAACCATCAAAGAAAACATGCACAAGCTTTCTTTAATGTGGTCTCACTGCAGCTGTAGTGTGGACTTCACTGCTGCTTTATGCTGGGAACAAAGATATTACCATGTACGTTACCACTGACTGAGCCGTGTGACTTTCCAGCATCAAAACCCTGAAGTCAGTCACTCGTGTCAGTGGCGGTCTCTTGAGTGTTTGTGTTTTTTAATCTAGCATGAAGGAAGCCGTCGCTCACAAAACATAAAAATTAATTGATCTTTAATTTTCCTCAAACCTCCCTGTGTCTCTGGTCGACCTTCTGCATGTGACTCTTTAAAACTAAAATCATGACAAATCATTTTTTACTTCTGATTCTTTGTTTTTGGTTTGTTGCCTTAACCTGTTGGTCTCAGACATGCTGCTGGATCTCAGCGATCTCCTGCAGGTAAGTGTCAAGACTAATGATCGTTATCGATTAATCTGCCAGTTATTTTCTTGATTAATCTATAAAACCATCACAGTTTCCTAAGTGACGTCTTCAAATGTCGTATTTTGTGCGATCAACAATCCAAACCTCTAAATATCCAGTGTAGTATAATGTAAGATAAAGATAATTGATGAATCCATTATCTGAATAGTTGCAGATAAATATTCTGTCAATCGATTAATCGACTTATTATTGTAAATCAAAACAAAATTGAGCTTCTGCAGACTTTAAAGAAAACTTTATTTTCTTAAATCTTACTGTGATGTGTCTCGACGCCCACCCCGCTGGAGCAGCCACTTGCACACACACACACACACCTACCTCTCGCCACCACTCCCATAATGCATCTCTGCCTAACCACTTGCTCCTGCAGTCATCTTGCATTCAGACTTTCACCCGTGTAATTAAACCTGAGGGGGGGTGTGTGTGTGTGTGTGTGTGTGTGTGTGTGTGTGTGTAAATTTAGAAACTCCTCCATTTGTCTGCATATTTAATGGCAGCAGATTCACAGTGAGTCAGGGGCGTGGTGGAGCTGGTGGTGGCGGTGGGACATTTCTCAGAGTCACAGCTGGTCAGGGGCTTTTATTTTTACGCACCCAGCTGTCCTGCAGGAGCCGGTGGCGGCCCCTCCCCCCCCCAACCATCCACACCCCGGCATGTGGAGTGCTGGGTGTGGATTTGAAGTGGATTTCGGGTGGGTGGGGTTATTAATGCCCAACATTTCGGGGTGTGGGTCGGTGATATTCCACCGATCACTTGTTTATGGATCCACACCCGCGCCACTTGGTGTTTGTTGCATTGTTGGGATGAATGAGGAGCTCTGTCACTTTCAGTCTTCACTCAGCTGCTGAAGTATTGATCAGGGCTGGATCGATACTGACTTTAAATATCAGCTGTTTTCTGTGTTGTCCACCTCAGATGTGACGGAGGTTTGATCACGTGTTGATCAGTAGCTGGGAGTATTAAACAACAGGTGCGTCAGAGGGTGAACATGAGGAGGGCCATGTTAATCTGTCAGGGGTCTCCTCGGGTCACGAGGAAGCTGAGGAAGGTTCCCGGCAGATAAAAAAATATTTTATTCAAAGCTCTGGACAGATCACAGAATCCTCTTCTCCTCTTTATTTTTTCATTGAAAGTATATTTCCCCAATTTATGACTGTTTTAAGATTCAGTAAGTGACTTTGATGCAGATTCAAAGAATGATATAAAACCAGGAGGAGAAGAAGGAAACTGAATCCTTGTTACATTTTGATTTTAATTGATCAGCCAGCGTTTCCACCCCACCAGGTCTCCATCAGTCAAACATCATCATCAAAATTTAAACTGAGGTCTTACAGATGTTGGCAGCAGCTGTTTGGTTCTGTCATTTAGGCCTGTGGCTTCAGGAGAGAGTGGTTGTTGATGCTCGTTAATCTCATCAGAGCGGCCCTCGGTCGTACCGGCCCCCATCAGGAATCCTTTAATTGAAAGCTTTTCCCCCCTCGAAGCCTCGGCCGCCGCCTCCACCTGTTGAGACTCGGGCTGTGAAGTATCAAGTGTCCGCTCAGTGTTTTTGTTGCCGGAGCGTTTGGAGTTGACCCCTGACCCCGGAAAGTTTCACTTAGCGCTGCAGAGCAGAGGGGGATCGTTTTCTCCTCGTTTCGTCTGCGAGCAGCTCAGCGGCCGACGGTTCAGAGCTGTCATTAATTTTGATTTGGAGACTCGAGCTCAGCGTTTAGTTGCCGAGTCAAACGTCAGTTTTACAGATTAAAGAAGAAAAGTTTTCAGTTGGTGTCGAATTCAGCAGTTTGTGTTTGATTAACAAAACTCTGCCAGGCTGCACAGAGATACTGGACTACTGACTTTCACACATGCATTATGTAAAGGAATCACTTTTAGTCCCAGTGTTTAAAATTAAATGAAACAACTTCAGGTCTTAATTTTTTTGCAGTTTTGGACATTATTCCTTAATTATAACATTGCACTCGCCAAAGCAAATGCAGAGATCTGGAAACACGATAACATCCCTGCAACATGCATTTTTGCACTATGCCTCTCAGGTTGTATGTAAATGTTATGAACTAATTCTGTGTGTGTGTTACGTGATATGTGGGAGCCACTCGACGCTGACATTTTAACCAGGTCTCTCTTGTGAATAAAGCGTCGACGGTGTTTCCTGGTTTGAATAAAACTACCCAGATGATCTGAACCACTTTATTTGGAGGCTAAACCGAAAGTTAGAGCGTGAATGTGAGTAACAAACCTTCTGCACAGGAAAACTTATTGTGAACACAACTACAGGAAAGTGCAGTAGGACAAAGATGAGGCAGGAAGTTGGTCCCTAAACAGTGACGGATGTTTGAAACAGTTTTAATTTTACTGTTCGCCTTTGTTTTCTTCTTCTTACAAATACATTCGACTGATTTGGACATTTGTTTACATCCTGCTTGATTGGCTTTTTGTGGTATTGCTGTGTTCCCAGATCTCAATTAATCAAATGAACCCGAGCCATGTTGATTTGATAATTAGTAATCAACATTGTTCTCACCAAGTTAATTTGATTCCTAATGATTGAAGTGATGAAGGAAACTACAGGAACGAGACCCAAGGTGAAACATTTAATTCAACCCCTGCAATTATTACATTTTATTTTTATTTTTTTCCACTCGGGAGCCAGACACCAGACAACAACAACAACAACAACAACAAACACTTATTACGTGACGTATTATTACTTTATAAAGCTGATATAGCAAACTTGTTCTCACACATTCATTTGTCCTCCTGATCAATCTAAGTCCAGTATCCCCTCTTCTCTTCTTTTATCTCTGTGTTTGGTCTCCGCCGCCTCCTGAGGGAAATATCTGCCTCTTCAACAGCTAAACGCTCGTCTGTGTTCACCAGCTGTTCCCTATTTGTTTTTGTTTATCGCTGCCTTTTTGTTTTTTTCCTGCTGATGAGAGCGTGAGACCGAACTAAAAGAGTCAATTTATGGAGCGTAAAACCCAAAACAATGAGCTGAAAACGCTCTGTAATGCCGAGGGGGAACTCCAGAGTTGAGTGACGATTCTGTGGGTCTACCTTTTCGCGTCATGCTGTTGTTGCCACTGGTGATGGAGAAATATTGATTAAGGCGGCTTTGAAATGCTGCAGTCGAGTAAAGATGTTGATTTTTGTTCCTCGTTTTAGCCGTTCAGCTGTAAAAACTTAAAAGTGACCGCACTTGTTCCACTTCCTCCTCCTCCTCCTCCTCCTCCACTCTCTCTGCTTTTGTGTATAAATTCCTCGCTGGAATCCACTTCCCAGAATAGCAGTGGAGCATCTGCGTCCCTGCCCGACTGCAGAGAGGGGGCTGAGAGCGAGAGTCCGTCTGTCTGCTCCGAACCCCCCCCCCCCCAAGCCCCCGGAGGTCTGGAGAGTCGGTCTGAAGGAATGACAGAGATCTGACCTGAGTTCACGACCTGATCCTCCGGCTTTCGCTGCCTTCTGCTTCAGATTTCAGCTCGTGGCGCCTCAGAAACTTAATTCTGCGCCGTATCGCCGTTAATTTGAGATGATATGATAGATGTGCGGCCTCGTGGCTTTGTTATTCAGCGGTATTCGTCATTAGATCCTTTCACATGGAGTGGTGGGGGTGTGGGGAGGGTGTGTGTGTGTGTGTCGGGGGTGATAGAATTTACTACCGAGCCTTCTGGAGGTGTTGTGGGTAAAATACAATGAAACATCTGTGATGGGAGGCGCCGGCGTGATAACCCCAACGACACGCTGGCTCTCACCCACCGCCGACTCACCCTGCTCTTCCCCTGACACGTGGCCCAGTGAAGCAGGTTCATGCTCAGCTTAGTTAAACCGCCTCATCAGCTCCTGCTCCACAAACTCCACAAACTAGTTTGAAGGTTTATCCCTGTTCACCACTGAGTTAAGGATGTCACCTTTGACTTTTCTCCTGCAGTCAACGAACACAACAGCTTTCCTGTACTTCTTCTCCTGTCACGTTGTCTGAGTCCGTCCGTCTCTAACACAGATTCTCATTCATACATCCTCAGTCTCATCTGCACCCGACCGCTGTAGCCCGCTCCTCGCAGCTCCTCGCAGCTCCTCGCAGCTCCTCGCAGCTCCTCGCAGCTCCTCGCAGCTCCTCCGCCCTGTAGCGTTTACCACAACAGGAGTTCTTACTCATCTGAACACAAGACACTGATTCTGTCCTCGCTGCTCTGACTTCCTGTTTCACCCAGATCCAACCGCAAGAGTTTCTCACCACCGACAAAACTGGTAAAAGACTGGCAACTTCTCAGCTGGCAGATCTCCATTCGCCTGCGTGCACGCAGATCACGTTATTCTGGCCATTAATAAGCGACCTATTGGGGGCAGCACGTTTTGTTTTATCAGGCCCTCCTAATGAGAAAACCTATTTATTCTCCCTCTCGTACAATTTGTACCTTGTTGTGGTTTTTATTCCTCATTCACAGACTTTTCTGCAAATAAGGAATAAAAAGCTTCATCATTTTTCATTTTTGTTTATTGGATTAATTTAGACTCAGATTTTCACGCTCACTACAATAACTGTTTGGTCAGATGGTTTTACCACTGATATGAAATGATCCTCTTCTGATAACTTTTGATCAACATATGTTAATGTGAGAATATGGGCAACTTTTCCCGCCTAAACAAACCAAACTTCTCAAACACACACACAGCGCTGTGACCACAAGCTGTCACACTAGAACTTTTCCAAAATAAAATACTACAGGATTGTCAGTTCTGAAGGAAATCATAAAGTATCTGTGAAAAGAAACGAGACCTCACTTCGATGCCGTCGCTACTTCGCGGTTTTTCTTTGGTCTTTAGTCAAAATAGTATCTGAAATTTTCAAGAATAGAAGAATTTATGTAAATTTGAAATGTTCATTTTCATGTCAGCGACTAAACAACTTATTTGTCCCATTTTTCGGCTCAGAGCTCAGTCACTTATCACAGTAACCCTTTGTCTCGTTGCCTGTGCTGACTTCTGGTCAAAGGTCACAGCGGTGTGCAGATAAATCAGTCACGTCCTCTCAGGTACAGGAAGGTTATCATGTCGCCTCAGTGCAACTCACCAGAAATAACTAACGAGTTAAAACGTCAACTTTTAAAGAGAGTGAAAGAAAAACGTCAGTGTAAAGACCCAGAAACATCCGAACACACACCGTGTGTGTGTATTGGTCAGACTTGTAATTTAGATACAGGAAATCTGAGGGGGGGGGGGGGGGGGGGGGAGGTGGGGGTGACCTTGAGGGGCAAGAATAATTTGATTAGAAATGAATCAACACAACTGTGAGTTTGAGAGACTGCACCAAGCCTGAAAAAGAAAAAATAAATAAAAAACCCTTCAAATCGCAGCAGAGATCAGCTTTTAATCACACATATTGAAGTGAAATGTTCTGCAACCTTTGGGTCGATTATGTAACGGGGACACTTAACGGCCTCATCTCATATCCTGATAGTGTTTTTCTCCCTGTCAGACACACCAGTCATCCCCATCACCTCCCTCCTGTTAGAGGGAAACGCTGCGTCTTGTGAGACAAACTCTTAATTTCAGACTGATGCTCGGGCTCCAGTGTAATTCTGTAAATGGTTTTTAAATGGGTTTAATGGCTCTTGGAGTCACTGAGCTCACTTACAGGAGCTGCAGGATCACGTAACCACGCAAATCCAGTTAGAAAATTAGACTCCTCTTGGCAGCACGAGGTTTTCCTTCTGACAGATGCTTCACTCTCTGGTGTTTTACCTTCAGCATCTCGTCTCTTTTTTGTTTTTATGTTGTTTTTTCCTCCGCAGGTGAACGTCTACGTCCTGGGAAGAACTTTCCTCGTCCTGGCCAGAGAGCTGTGCATCAACGCCCCGGCTATAGGTACCGACCTCATCTTCACACTCTTTTACTACATTAATAATGGACCATCTCTAAGTGTCCATTTCACTACATATATGTAGATATGAGCCGCTCCTGGTTAATCTCATTGTCATTTAATTTGCCAGTTGCTTTTGCGATTAACCACCCGTCTATATAAAACCAAAAACTAGTGAAAAACGTCTCTCAGAATTTCCCAGACCCATGTAGAAATATTCAAACCTCCTGGTTTGTCCGACCATCAGTCCCAAACCCAAATATATTCAACTTACAATGATTATAAAACAGAATATAGCAGCAAAAATCTTCACATTTCCTGAGCTGGAACCCGAGGATGTTTGGTGTTTTTCTTGATAAATGATTTAAAGGGATTCTCCAGAGATTTATTATTGCTTCCATAATAAATTGGGGACTCTCTAGTGACAGATTAAAGAAAAAATGCTCAAAATCGAAGCAGCAGAAGCCGAGAGATCCTGAATTTTAATCCAGAGTGTGTCCAACTCCAAAAAACACAGCATCCTTCATTTCCCACAGTGCACCTTGATTGTGTTTTTCTCCAGACGCTCCCCGCCTGGTCAAACACCCACGTCCTTTTTTTAAACTCAGGCTGATAAATGTGCAGTTTCCAAGCCCAAACTAAGACGTCCCTGATGATTCATGTAGTCACAGCGGGTTGCAGACTCAAGGTTTTAGTATCACAGCGATCCCTGGGCTCATGTTACCAAACATAACAAAAGGACTCCATGTGTTCAGTACCAGCGCACGGGACGAGTTGAGGTATCGGGGAAGAAAGAAATAAAAAAAAAAAAAAAAAACTTGATTGGTGAATCTGTGAAATAAATTTTTAGCTCTTTAACCCACTGATATCAGGGGATTTGGACTTTAACTGACTGTGTTGAGCTTTAAAATGTTCCTGCTGAATCACAGGCAGGAAATTAAAAAGTCTCTGAGAAAACTCACACATACCCTTTCCCTTAAACTTGATTTTTTTCTCTTTTCCCCAGAAGATCTAAATCTATTTTAGTCCTAATTATCTTCTCCTACACACCCGAGCATCACCACCACTCGGTCCCATTACACCTTTTTTTCCCACTGTAATTTGCAGGTTGACCTAATAACTAAAGTTCTGTTGCTAATTGAAAGTGTTTTTGTTTACGCTGCACGTGAGTCACGTCTGAATCGTATCCAGATCTCCCTGCCACAAACTCTCCCCTGCAGAGATATCGCAGACCTGTAGTGCAGGTTCTACTCTCTACTCTCTACTCAGGCATGTTTAAGTTGCTTCCTGTGCAGCTGTGTCACTGAAAATCAGCATAAATATAATAAAAAATAAATATCAGATGAGGCCGATTGTTAATATGTACAGATCAGGATAAAAATATGTGGCTTCTCTACTTTTAAATGACCCCCCTGACTTTAAAACAAAAGATTATAAGAGTTGATTTAAAAAGCAGCCCCCCCCCCCCGACTCAACGGCCCCCTGAACCTGTGACCACCAAACCCGTGAAGTCATCAATCCACGTCTGCAAGAACCTCATGTTTCCATACGCCCCAGGTGTAGTTCACTCCGATGTAACCAGAGGGCGCTGCTGCCCCTCAAATCCCCCCCCCCTGCTCCCTTCACCCAGGCACCAACAATAATATGACATCTGTGGCTTCAGTCACATTATAACCTTTATGTTTTATCATCAGGTGTATAAGCATTCTTGTACAGAACACATCTGGTCTTTAACAGCATCAAGCTGTTAACAGTTAAATCGTATTTTACAAAAGACACAACGTTTCCGAGGCCGTCCTCTGAAGTGCAAAACATCTCTGCGTCTGACAAGATTTCTACTTTTTTTTTTTTTTTTTTTGTTGTTGTTTTTTTTTTTTTTTTTTGCATTTAGAATCATACCACTACATAAAGTTTGCTCCTTGTGTAATATTGCTGCTTGGACTATAGTAACAACATTGTATATAGACTTGCAATTACACAATTTGAAGCAGTCCCTACTTGTTCCAGTTGCGGAGCTCAGCTTGATTACATAACCACAAATCACCGTATTAATGTTGTTTCTACAGCAGCCGCAGCCCTTTAAACACAGGCATCAGAGCAAATAACGTTAACCCAGTATTTAAATAAAAAAATAACATTAAATTAAATAAGATAAAACAACAGCTCCTTTTGCTTTTAAAATAGTCTCTCAAAGATCTAACCAGGCCATTTAGTGTGACATTACTCAAGTGTCTTTAATGCTACATTACTGTAAAGGCTGGGAGGCGAGGATGAACCTAATTTTCCATCAGCAGTCCAGAGCAGCTTATGCATAGAACACAAGCTCGGGGATCTGTCCTCCCTGTACTCCGGTCCCGTTGGTGCTGTCGGAGGAACACTGGAATTGAAATGTCACCTTCCCGCACTGCACCTCCGTCATGCCCTCCTGGCCGAAATAGCTCAGCTCGTTCCCGTCCAGCACGGCGCTCACCGTGTAGAACGCGTCCTGCTCCACCTGAACAGGATGCTCGAACCACACCGGAAACGTACTGCTCGACCCGTCCGACACGAACTTTGTCAGGTTCTGTGCCAGGATCACCCCCTGCCTCTTGAGTTCGATTTTGACGCTGTACTCGGCTTTGCCGCCGCTCGACCCGTACAGTCCCAAACCGGCGATAAAGATCCTCTTGTCCACCGCAAACTGAATGCTGTCGCACCGGCCGCGGTAGCGCCACTGATTGCTCCGGTAGGCCGAGGATTGGAAGCGATGGCACCTCTGAGGCGCCAAGCCCTTCCTGGCAGACAGAGGGAAGTCCAGCTGGGGCTTTTTAGCCGCAGTGTACCACAGGAACACATTGTGCGTCTCCTCCAGTGTCAGGATATCAGATTGCGCCGCCCCGTTAGCAAACTCCTCCAGGCTCATGGTGGGGATGCGCACCAGAAACAGCGCCTTGCCAAGGACATCTCTTCTGTTGCGGGTGGTGGGCCCCAAACCTTGTCTCTTGCACTCCGCTGTGGCCCAGCTCATAACAGCCTCAAACACCACCACCTCCTTGGTGTTGAGGGTCTCCCTCCGCAGTATGATCTCCAGAGTCTGCAGGTCGATCTCGCAGAAGCCCTCGGAGCACAGAGCGAGCTCGGCCTGAGCGTCGATCACCTCCCAGCAGCGCTGCGTCAGCTCGGGCTCCTCGAACAGGCGGCTCTGGGACAGCAGCACGCAGGCGTTCTTGGCCTCCAGGCTCGTTTCCAGGAAGGTGACGCAGGCCTTGGCCAGTGCAGGGACAATGTACTTTTTGGCAGCATACAGGGTGGCCAGCACCGTGTCTGCCTCCAGGTCGATCTCATCACTGTACATGTACCTGGCAGAGGGGAAATCGTATTTAAATCACAGTAAATATGCAAAAGTCTAACTTAGTAGCTCCGCTGGAGAGACGGATCCACTACAGCTTCCATATTATTCCTCACAATGAGACGTGATGCACCATGTGCTTCTATGTAAACTGACTTTGGATCCTTGAAAATGGCTAATCTCTGCTTGTACGTTGTCTATTTTCCACTGCATCCACAAAAAAAGCAAAATGGAAATAATGACTGTCTTCCTACGATGACTTAACACATCCTAACCTTTTCTCCAAAGACATAACACGCAATAGTCCATGGTGCTGGCTTAGCCAGTGCTACTAAATGAGAAACAAAGGCAAGTTATTTATAACTCCTAGTCTGCATATATCCCCCTCTAAGAAAACTGTCAGGCTGTGGATGAGGAAAAGGGAAAAAAATGTTTCTACTTGAACAAAGAGCGCTGAGAAAACCAGCAATTACAGAGCACCGTACTGCTGCCACTGCTCTCTGGCGCTTCCAGCATTTTGGCATTCGCCTCTGCTTAGCTTTGGATGAGTAATAATATGCTTTGAAGTGACACTGACTGCGCTTGTCATCTCTCCTTCTGGTTGGCTGTGTGAGGGATGGTGAGTGGCTTACTTCAGCAGAATTAGAAAAGCAGCAGGTTCCACATCTGGGATATGGATCTCAGACTCCTCCTCCGCCAGATCGCCGTAAAACATGGCACAGAAGACCGAGCTTCCCACGGCCAGCACATACTGGGAGGGAGAGAGGGAGGGAGCAAACAGATGCGTCAGAGACACATGCAACCTGATCACTTTTCTTTGCTAAGTTCAATAAAGGAGCAGGCTTTCAGTGGTGCAGAGACATGAACAACTTCCCTGCTCAGCTAAAGGACATTTTTTTTTTCCAAGAGGTGAAACGTCTTTACCTTGTGTGCTGGGACCTTCTGCGATGCCCCCAAGGGGCCAACAATGAAGTGGACATCAGCCATCAGCTCATTGTTAAACATCAAGGCATTCCTAAAAGCAGGAGCAGGTTTCATGAATAAGCCTCAAGTATTGTATAACAGTCCTCCCACACTCTTTTTGCCTAGAGACACTGGTTATTTTCATAGGTTTGGGGAGGATATAGCTACCGTAGCAGGGCTGCAACTCAAATATTTTCATAATCAATAACTCTGCTTATTATCTGTATGTTAATTAACTGTGAAAAATGCCAGTCGCGTGTTCCCAGAGCATTTTAAATGTCTTGCTTTGTCGGATAAACAGTCCGAAAGTCAAATATATTCAGTTTAATATCATATAATAAACAGAAAATAATCACATTGGAGAGGGTGTGCAAACAAGCAAAACCGGTTTAAAAAAAAAAAAAAAAGAAAAAGAAAAGTGATGATGCAGTAAAACGCATGCAACCTGACATTTATGCTATTATACAAACTTTTAATCATGATGGTGTGCCCAAAATCACTAGGTCCTCCAAAATAAAAGCTCGCAAAACCCCACTGAGGGAGAGTGACTGTGCGAACCGAGAGTACGCTGACCTTACTGCACTTTATGGTGCATTTTATCTCCCTTTTCAGCTGCTGTCATATTAATGCAGCGGCCGCAGTGAGCTGTCATTACCTGATAATGACCTTAATGTACTTTATGGTCATAACCCTGCAGGGGTGGGAGGGGGGGGCTCTCAGGAATATTTTGCACACACTTATTAAATTTACTACAGCTGTAAACCAGAAAAAGGGGTGACGGGTAATTTAGGTCCAGGGTGTTCCGGAGTTACCTCTCTCTCAGTGTTGGGTGGCTGCACTGCCAGCTGGGTGGGTCTACGTTGTTGTTGTTGATGTTTTGCTGGGTGGTCGGGGTGGTCGCCGCGCTGCTGCTGCTGGCCTGGCTCACCTGCACCTCCTTGGTCTTCTCGGCGTCCGCTACCGTAGTGCCGTTGGCCAGGTTGGTGTTGTTGGTGTTGGCGGCGGGGTACAGCTCCGCAGCCATCTTCTTCTCCTTCTGCTTCTGCTGCTTCTTGCTCGTCAGGGACAGGGTCAGGATCTCATAACATACCGGCAGCCTGTCCGGGAGCTTGCCGACCTTCTTGGACTTTTTCAGTGTTTCGGGAAGTAGGAGCAGATAAGTCAAACACCTCATGATCCGGCCATGATGGAGCAACCTGCAGTCTGCCGTTGGCATCGGCACGGGCAACACGGTCTTCTTCGCGTTGATATCCGGTGAACCGAGTCGCTGTCGGGGTCTGAATGAACTAACTGTACCGGAGGGTGGTGGTGGTGGTGGTGGTGGTGGGAGGAGGAGGGGGAGGAGGAGGTTTGCTCCGCGGAGGATTCGGCGTTTTTTCTGCGGGGAATTCGGCTCCTACGGCGCCGCTTCAACACGGCATCGACCGCGAAGTTTACACGACAACATCTAAATATAAATGTGTGTCCAGGCCCGGCGGAGTCCGTCTCCTCCTCCGTTCCCAACTTCGACCGCGAACACTTTTCTTTTTTTTTTCTTTTCTTTTCTTTTCCTCCGTTTCCTGGCGGTCACCTCATCCTCTCTGGACGGAGAAACGTCCGCGAAGCGTCGCTTGTTTTCCCTTTTTTCAGCGAGTGGGTAATCCGGAGAGTCGCAGCTGGTAATTCAAGTCTATTTTTTTTTCCCACCCCGCCTCCGCGTTAATCCTCACACATATTTCTCCTTCTGCTTTCTCCGAACCGGCTGCCCGACCGACGAGAACCCAGCTATGTTGTCCCGTTTGCGGCCGCACGCATCCGAGCTAAGTAGTCATTTGTCGGGAGTTTTTAAGGTCTACTCTATTTTTTCTGCTGTTTTTTTTTTTTTTTTTTTTTTTTTTTCGTCGTGATCTCCTCGGACGCCCAGGGCTCGTCGAGGACCAATCACATTCACGCACCGCGCTGACGTCAGGGGGACCGAAGCGCCTCCCTCCGCAGCTCCGCAGAGTGCGTCACCGGGCAACCGCTCCTCCTCCGTCCCAATCATTAGAGCCGGTGGTTAAAAAAAAAAAATAAAAATAAAAATCAAACTTTAATAAAAAAGGAAAAAAAGAAAAGAAAAGGAGGTCTGTGTAATAAGACCGTTCAGCCCACGACAGTAATGAGGAGAGATGGATATTAAACAGTAGTGTAGTGGTGCTTTGGTTGGTGGGTTTACTGTGACTTCAACTAAGCTTCATGCTTTTATTTAATTTAAAAAAAGTAATTTAATGGGGTAAGTTAATGTACTCAAATGTGTGTGCACTATACTGTAATTTAAATATTCTAATTTCATTCGACAGACTGTATAGTGAGTTTAGAAGGAAACATTTATTATTTTCTTTATGAATTATGATTGTATGTCCAAAAGATTTGAGGAGCTGATAAAGTATAATGCATTCTTATGGATGATAAAGTATAATGCATTCTTATGGATAACACTGCCCAAGAGTAAATAAAAACATAGCTCCATCTCGACCACTCACAGCAGTAAAATGCTGCCCCCCCTTGAACACATCAGTAGTAATAACCCTGTGATTTAGTATAGCACTGACACACTTCAGTGCACAGCTTTTACTTGTAATGAGGTGTTGCTACGTTCTGACTCTGAACACTTATCAACACACCTCACTCTGACAGGTGTAATATCGTTATCTAACATTGTATCAGCTCTTTCCTCCAGCTCGCAGCAACAACAGGCGTAGTCATTGGCGGGCAGTTTTTAAAAGTTTATAAGGGCATTAATGTGTCCCTTTTCATATTTGTATTTGTGTGGTGAGTCTGAGACTTGGTGCAGTCTTACCTGTGTACTGATGTTACCTGGGAGGAGGCACTGCCTTCAATACTAAAGTCAGGAAACGGAGGTCTGAGTTCACAGTAAACACCACAGATTAAGTGAGAGACTGTAGCATTATTGACTGCAGCAATGTGCACTGATATAGATAAGTATAGATAAATCCACCTGTCCAGAGGTGGGTATACGCAGCACTACACCTCTGACTGTAAATATAAAGGAGAATCGGTGCAGCTGAATTCACACACGGTTTATACTTCTCTACCATTAGTATGTGGTGTCTGCAAAGGAGCCTTTTCATGGATATAAATATACACAAATGCATGTCCTTTTCTTCCCAGACCACGCTCATGTAGCAGTGGTGGAAAGTACAGTTTTTTACAAGTATTTTTGGGCTTGTAATATTTTTTAGTTTCTTTTCACCACTGGAAATAACAAGGTAGAGAGACTGTGACCGTCCCCAAAGACATAACCTAATGAAAACTAAAAAAAACCAAAACAAATCTGTCTTTCTGCTTCCCAAATTCTTGCCCTCATATAGTTGATCATAATTGATAAAATGGAAAAATATAAAAAGGGAAGATTTGTGTCATAGATTAAACACAATCTGTCAACATACGACACTTTCATCCTCGATTTGTGATTGGAAAGTATGTCACGAAGGTTGGAAAGATAACTTATAATTTTACACTGCATTACATCCCTGTATAACGGTAAATATACTGGTGGATAAATGTGACTCTTCATTCTGGGATCTCCTACAGATCAAACTAACAATCAACACTACTGTATGTACAAGTATCAGCAAAAATCAATACATTTCTCCTTTTTTTTTTTTAAAAAACCTGAAAACACCTACTGTGATTTCACCTAGCTGCCTGTGATGATGTATCTTGGATGACTGATCGAACGTGACATCATATCCAAATATCTGTGACTGGTTTAGTGCAGTTTGATTTCAGAAAATGATTTCAGCGACCTAAAGCAGCATCAGTATTCGGTCAGGTCCTGATGAGTTAAGGCTTCTTTCTGGAGCTGCCGTTTTGCTCCGACGTCCAATACGGAGAGAAATCCATCAGAGAGAGGGAGACTCTGAGACCAATTTCTACACCCTCAGTAACAGAAAATGGACCAGAATGCATTGTGGCTCGGAGACCGTTTTGGGTTTTGAGTAGGAAAGGGGCGCAGCTTCCTCACAACTTTAATGCTATTCATGCAGCTCTGCTCCCACATTTGATTGAAAGGAGCAAGTTCACGGCCCCTCTCAGGGGGTGGTCGAAGTAATTTTGGGGGAATGTGGGGAACCGAAGTTAGAAAGTAGGCGAGGCAGGTGGAGGGAAAGTGGGTCCACGAAAAAAAAAAAGGTAAACCACAAGCACTCCATCACAGAATGAATCCTGGGCTGTTTGAGCATCGCAGATTGATTGTATTCAACTGAAGGAGGATTTAAGGTGGAATTTTTTTGTATTTCTTTTTTATTAAACACCCTCTTTTTTTTCTGTGGTGATCTTTTCCTGGACCCAGACACTCCAGTAAAACTTGGAGCAGTGATGGCCAGCTCTGCAGACGTATCATTACATGGTGCGGAGTGGGGGGGGGGGGATCAGCCTGGATCTTATTACCAGCTGGCTCTACCAGCTTTCCACTGGACTGCTCTTTAAACGCAGCCACTAACTTCAAAGATTCTCCAGTGTCATGGCCGTGGCACAAAAGTCCACCTTTTGTCTCCCAGTTAGAGTGGAGTTTCAGAATTAAATTAGATTTCTCATTTATAGAATAAAAAAAAAAGAGACGAAAGGCGAACTGGCCGCCTGCCAGGCTGCTTCATGACAAAAGCAGGTGGTTCTGTTGTTTTTCTTTTTTCTCTCCTCAGCTGCATCTAAAGTGTTTTCCATAAAGTTTCTGATACGACGCACCGTACACGTTTCTCAGAGACATTCGAGGAGCAGAAAAGTTTGAGACGTGAGCCTGTGATTGGACGGCTGCCCGTTCAAATCCTTTCGCCAGCTGAGAAAATCTGGACGGAGACACTGAATGAGAAACAGGCTGCTTTTGAGGTGCACTTGAGCTAAAATGCTAATCCTCTGGTTTCTCTGGTGCAGCTAATTAGCCAGGCAGCAGGAGGGGACTGGTTTTACTGGGGAGCTCACAGGTGTTGGTGAAGTTGAATCTGGATGTATTTTTAGGCAGGATTTTTGGTGAAAGGAAAAAAAAATAAAGAATTTCTTTCGTCTGAACCAAAGTGGGGGAAAAATGACTTGTTTTTTTTTTTTTTTTGCTTTTGGTTGGTTTGCTGCTCAGACAAAAACAAACCAGGGCTTGTAAACACACGTCACATGGACACACAAGCAGCTGGTTCATCGGACAGAGTTTTGGCTGAAGTGTCGTCCTGTGAGGTTTGTGGCAGCAGCGTCTGATGTCAACGTGTTATAATCATGAGAGACACAAGAAGTCTAACAGCATGAGCTCTTTAGTGGATTTGAAGCAGTGACTGAATCCGAACATGAATATTATGAACATGCATCACAACAAACACTGAGCAAATCTTCCTCCTCTTGTCTCCGTCAGACCCGTGCCTGTATATTCCCCGGTTCGCTCAGCTGCTGGAGTTTGGTGAGAAGAACCACGACGTCTCCATGACGGCGATGAGACTGGTGCAGAGGATGAAGAGGGACTGGATGCACACGGGACGGAGGCCGTCGGGACTCTGCGGAGCAGGTAACCAACGAGACAAGGAGGGGTTAGATATCTAGTGTCTGCACTGTGGACGATTGTTTTTATGTCAGATGAGTGTTTTTAAATTCAGTTTTAGTTGAAAATGTTCCTCTGAGAAATTTAACTAATCATACAGACCCACTTTTGATGGGTCAACAGCTCCTATAATCTTCAGTTTTTCAATGTAAGCTTTTCTCCTGCTCTAATTGCCTTTAAAAACTCTTAAACAGTCAAAACAAGTTATGAATTTTGCAAGTGCCTCATCTTCAGTTGGATGAGCAGCTACTATGTAGGAAAAATAAAGACTGTTTTCCAGTCATCTTAATCTATAGATGAATCTAACTTCATATTGGAGGCAATTAAAATGATTTTTCAGGAACAGAGGTAAGTTACACGAACATATAAATTCATGGGAAAATAAAACATGTCAAACATTCATAAAAGCTTTCCAATAAAATGTGTGTTCCTCAGTTTTGAGTCTCTAACAGCGACGACCCGGTCACCTTTAGTCTCGAGCTGAGACCTTGGAATAACCAGCAGAGCTCCATCCACCGATCTGAGTGAACGCCCAGGCACATGGGGTTATTAAGTCTTAATTATTTTAATTTACCAAATATTCAGCTTGCCCTAACTTTAAATAGAACAGTAATTTGGTTGGTGGGTTGCTGTTCCTGTTTTTGGCGGTTTCGATCCCGGTTTCAGAATCGTTGAAACCCTAAATTTAACACGTCCACATTAACCTGAGTGTTGTTTATGACACCACGAACAGGTTTGTCCACCAGCAGGTGCAGTGGCTGGTGAATCCTGGTGTTCACTTGACCAATAAAGTTTTTTTTTCTAAATTCACTTGAGGCTTTTACTGTTCGCTGGTTTCCTGCCGGAGAGGCTGAGGCGAACCTGCCGGCACCTGCCTAAGCTTCCCGCAGTTCGCCTGGTGTTGATTTCCCGCCCTGCCCGTCAGCCTCTTCCTCGGAGTGTTGTGGTGCAGATCAGGAGAAACAGCTGAGCTCAGAGCTCCTCCCTCTGCCGGCGTCAACCTGAATACGCTCGGCTTTGACGCATTACCAGCTAAGACGTCCTGAAATTGAATCACCGGCTTCCTCTGCTCCCTGCATGTTTACACTCATGGTTTCAATTTTCTGCTTTCTCTGTTCCTCTGCTGCATTGCCTGAATAATTAATTGCTTATCATAAATCATTGAGAAGGATACACTCAGACGGAAGAGAAGGAAAAGTTTGTTCCCAAAACTGATGCAAATATCTCCTGCTGATGAACCAGAAACATGCAACTGCAGAAAGTTCTTCAGGGTAGAAGAAGAGCGTTACATCACTGACTACATTCAGCAAGTTCAAGGACAAAGAGTCATGATCGCTAAGTAACAAAATCACAAAGTTAACTCTGCATTAAGAAAGGAAAACCGGCAACTTTACAATTACGGGGTTTCAAGGTAATGGTGCTGAAATGTTTGAGGAAGTCCTCAGCGCAGCTAAAAGCCACCACTTCAGTCCTAAAGGCTGTTAGAAGTGTGCATGTAGGACTAGAAGCATGCATCCATCTTTTAACAGGCTCTTGAGTGAGGGAGGCAACTCTAATGACGGTTATATAACTGTTCCCCTTCAAGGCCCGCACTGCAATTCATTGCATAATATTAGTGTTGTTGTTACTCCTCTTTAAAACTGTTTTCGTGCGGGGGCGGGCTGTTGGCTCTGAAGGCTGAGGTGCCCTCGTCCTGTCGGCTCCGTCCTCCAGTCTTCAAGGTGTTCACACACAAACTCCTGAACTGCAGCCATGACTATAATTCACTCTTGAGTCACGTCTTCACTGTGTTTGTGCACATTTGTTGTATCACTATGTGCATATGCATTTTTTTTTTTCCAAAACAGAGAAAGAAAGCCGAATATAAGACACAGAATATTAAATCATCTTATATTCTGTGCACTGTTGTGGTTTCAGGGACGACACAGGTTGAGTTATGGGGCATGACAGGGGTCGTACGTCACTGGGCTGTTTGTACCTTTTGGTTAAATCTCATCACATTCTCTGTTTTTGTTTTTGTTTTGTTTTGTTTTTGGTTTTGTTTTCTGTCTCCAGCTCTTCTTGTTGCCGCTCGTGCGCACGAGTTTCGCCGCACCATCAAAGAAATTGTCAGCGTTGTGAAAGTGTGTGAGAGCACGCTAAGAAAAAGGTGGGTGGTGACAGTTCAAAAGTTTCATCTTAATTTTAAGTACGTGCGTGCATGTATAAAATATAAAATGCAATTATAAATTAGTCCGGAAGTAATTTTTGTGCTTCATGTATTGTATTTTGTGTTAAGGACCGCCTTAAAAATGGGGTTTATCCTTCTAATAAATGTGTATTTTTTTTATTTGATGATCTGGCTGTAATTTCTTCCCTTCATCAGACTGATAGAGTTTGAGGACACGCCCACCAGTCAGCTGACCATCGAGGAGTTCATGAAGATCGATCTGGACCAGGAGTGTGACCCGCCCTGCTTCACAGCTGGACTACAGAAGAAGAAAATCGAGCAGGTATGAACACGTGTGTCGACGCGCAGCGAGGTGAATCAGGGGCCGAGTTCTTCAGATAAGTCGGTTCCAGGAGCCTTTAAAATCATCTGCGGAGCCACAGATGTCGGTGAAGTGCAGTAACATGTCCACGTGTAACATTTGTGATAAATGCCAGTGGCACACAGTAAAAAGGACTATTAAAATTTTACCTTACATTTTCTTGATGAATATTTGCAGCCCTCAGGCTTTCAGCAATAATTAATGAAGGACATTAACCTTTAAAGTAAAACAGTCTAATTACTATCACTGTTCTGTACGTTTACACCGTTTACAGAGAGGGAGGGAGCAGCTGGGCTTTGTTTCATGGACTCTGTTGCTGATTTAGCCGATTTAACTCTTACTAACTCTTACTCTTATTTGAGACCAGAACATATTTTATGTGTATTTATTTTTCTAAGTAGCAAGATCATTTTAAAACCTGTAACTCCTGCAGATATTAAATGTAATCCATGTCAGAGGTTTGATTTGTGTCCATGTTGCTTTCTGTAGTTTCAGACAAAACAAGAAATTTGTTTTTCTTCTGACGCTAGAGTCAAGAATTTACAATTTTACAGAGAATAACTTAGTTGCCGTTTGTTCCCAAGCTTTCAACCATATCTGCTGGGCGTCATCATCAGAGAGGAGGTTGAAGTTTTAGTCATGACATGGTTGAAAACCTCATACACAAGTAGAATTTTGAGTTGAGGATTTTGTCGTAGAAGATTTCCATCTGTTGTTTGATTATAGATCAGGTCGAGGTTCTGTATTAATACTGTGAACGTATCAAAGGGCTCAGCCCACAGAGAAATGCACACAGCCTGTATTCAGAAACTGAGCCTTAAAACCAGCCGTCAGAACTTCTGGAACTTTGTGATGTCACAGCATTGCAGTCACATCTCTGAACCATGCCCCAAGCCCCGCCCACCTGAACCCACCATCCCACCTTGCAGGGTTTTTGGTTCTTAAAACCACAAATATATCTTCTTATGGATCAACACTTCAAAATAAAACACAGGAAAAATATAAAATATGTAAAGTATTGGACCTTTAAGAAGATTCTCTGCTCAGTAATCAAGCAGCGTTTTTTAATGTCTCAATGGGAAAGAGCTGAATAAGGATCCACCAGGTTTCTATAACACACAAACGGTTTTTACTTTTGCAGTAAAGGGGAATAAAAAAGATCGGACCTGTGTGTTGTCAGGCAGTGAGGACTGTACTTCAGCTGTGTTTCTCACTACAGGAATCAAATCAAAGTCTCAGTGTTTTATACTTGTAGGAAGAAAAAGTGCTTCTGAGAGCTGCTGTCAACTGCCCACAATCCTCGTGTCATAACGTTCTGTCTTTCCGAGATGTTTAACTCGGTAACCATTTCACCCCGTAGTCAGTGCTGCATTAGAATAAAGGGTCTCTCATTCTCTCATCCAGCTCTCTCTGCTTTGTCTCCCTCCCTCTAGCTGGAGACGGAGCTGAAGAAAAAGATGGATGACGTCGAAGGTATGAATGCGACATCCTTGTCTGTTTGCCATCACATTCAAAGCATCTTGACTCTCGGGCCGCCTGCTTTTCTTTTAGTTTGCAAAATGAATTCTATCGGCTTTTCATCACAGTCAGCACAGACAAAGACTAAGTTTGGTTGCACTTTGTTCTCTTCTATGCGGCTGCCACTCGGCCGACCTTGACTAATTGCAGATCGGTGTTGGATGTGGTCAATACAAAGAAAAACCTAGAGAGGAAACGGCTCCCTTCGCCTTTAAAATTATTTCTTTTCTGCACAACATGTAATTAACCACATGTTCTGTTACTATACTAACATATGATATTTTAATTTAAAGGGTTAGTAAAGTTTCACAGAACAACTGAGAACATAAAAAGCACCACAAGTGTAATTTCACAGTCATTTTAGGGACATGAAGAAGTTACTGCATCTGATTTTCTACTCATGAGGTTTAATAACGTTGATCCAGGAATCGTTCTCGCTTTAACTCTTGTGATGTTTATCTTCAACAGATGAAATTCATGGCTACCAGGATGAGATCGATGCAGAGCTTCACAGCAGCAGACCCAAACTGAGGGGAGTGTACGCCGCCTACGCCAAAGAAGGTACGGAGCAGAGAGGCGCCGCTTGATCTCCACACACACTCACAGTTAGATCACCATCAAAACTGTCCCAGAATGCTTTGTGCTCGGAGTCAAAATGATTATTGTTATTGGCCGTGTTTTAAATCACTTTGGTACTTGGTGAAATCACACAAAGTTAATAAACAATATTAGCATGCTAACATCAAACTGCCACACAAACATGCTAAATGTTAGCATGTTCCCACGACGACTGTGCAGATATTAATATGCGGACATGCTAAATGTTAGCTGCTAAATGCTGGAGTTTAACTGGGATTCGTGAGGAGAGGGATCCCTCGTCCAATGAGGCTGACAGTTTTCACAGGGACTATTTCTTCAGAGGAAAGTAGTTCCAAGCGAAAACTGAAGACAGTGTATTTGTCCAGAGTGTGAAATGCTGCGCCACAACTAAATCCCATTAACCTCCATTTTATTTGTCAAAAATCAGAGTCAGATTGGATCAGTCAGCTGCCAACAACTTAATTTAATTTATTTATTGGTAATTTGGGTGAAGTGACCCTCAGAATGAATTTGAGGGGGGAAAAGTTCACCTCTGAAGTCGAAAAAAGACAAAAATACAACACCCCAAATGTTCAGGCCTGAACCCAAATACTCTGCCAGCGGCACTTTTCCAAATTTATGGTTCATGAAACATTGAAAATTTTCTGTCTGTGTGTAAAAATAGAGTCTTTGCCCTGAGGCAGCTCCAGTATCTACACTAACTTATAGGCTGAGTACAATGAAGGGAGTGTTTTCATTATTAGAGCGATGTTTTTTATTTATCTCATAAGATCCAGTAACTCCACCACCGCAGATATATTGCATTTATGCAGCAAAACCAAAAAGTCCCTCTCATAAAAAGCTTATGATTCTCCAGAGGAAACGATATTCAGACACTCGCTGAAAGTAAAAATAAAGCAGCGTTGATGTTGCTGGATTCATCCTGAGCGCAGCTGCTTTGTTCTCAGTCATCTCACTGTATAAAGCTGGAGTCTGTGTGCAACAGGTTGTCTGTTTGCTGTGCAGAAAAGCATTTAGGTTAATGAGGCTACTGTATATACAGACCATTTAAATAATTAATGACATCACTGCTGCTGTGCCACATGCGTCTTTCAGTTTGGAGACACAGTGTGGATCCTGCTGCTGAGTGACGCCACAGATTTTAAAAACAACAACAAAAAAAAACCTCAAAGAAAAGGAGCCTGGACTCTACATTTGTTTGGTCAAAGTGAGACAAACGTGTGAGAGTTTACAAAGCTGTGATACCGAAGGAGACGGAGCTGCGCTCTGACAGGGCGCCATTTGGATGTCATGGAGGGCGAGCTCAGCTCCGGTGGGCTCCGGGCCGATTTAACCTGTGGCTAAATGTCAACATGCAAGAAAAAGTTGTTAACATGCATACAAGCTGAAGCCAACATGCAAGTGTGCTTTGGTAGATATAAAGCCCATTAACAGGCAGAGTTGACTGCTAACACGAGCATGTTATGAAGCTAATAAGCAGCTGAAGCTGAAGCCGAGCTGACTAGTCTAAAATGTTTAGAAAAGGCCGCCGTGCACGAGATAAAACCGTTTAGATAACCAAGCGTTTCTGGTGGCAGCACCATCAGGTCAAACTTTGGTTTTTTACTGGTAAAAAATATTAGAACAGAAAATTTGATTCTCAGCTTCTTATGAAACAGTTTTTCTGGTGTGAAATGAGAATTACAGATTCATTTGTCGGCCAGTGTGACCACAGACATGATATCTGAACACCTGCCTGGTGTGTCACAGCACTAACCTTAATAAAGCAGCATTAACATGAGCAGCTGTCGACTCGCTTGAGTTTGACGCCAAAACCGAAACATCGCGGTGGAAAAACTCTGCAGTGTTAATGTGTGATGATGCTTTTATTTGTTCTCCTGTCAATCAGTCACACAAGAAGAGAAGTCTGAGCTTCTGTTGGTGTCACCTTCCTTCATCAGAGACCTTCCTCAACACACACACACACACACACACACACACACACACACACACACACACACTGACGCCCACCCATGGACAAAAATAACACACATCAGACCACACTGCCTGTCCGCTCTTCGTCTTTATCTGTTTCTACCTTTGGCTCCTTATCTCTGGCTCTCTGTCTTTTGTCTGTTTCTCTCACACACACACGCACACACACACACACACACACACACACACACACACTCACACACAGACTCCCCCTGTTGTCACACAGTGGGGGGGAGTCGCAGGCTGTCACTGATTTCAGGCGTGTTGCTCTTCCAGCTGCTGCGACGCTCTCAGATCCGGCGGCATTTCATTTCTTCTCAGATTGAGAACCAAGTTGCTTTTTCTGACTTGTGGGCTGAAACCTGTGTGAGGACGTTTTAATTATGGCTGATTAAAGGACACATTTTAATTAGCCACCAGGACTGAGAGAGGACGGCCAATATTATGATCCCAATTATTTTGTCTGGGTGTAATTATACATCACCATTTCTTTTCTCTGTGATTTTTGAACAAAATAATTTCACTGCACTTGTGGAATTTTATATTTTTAACTACAGTGGGTTTTTATTTTAATTTTATTTGATTGCATTATTTTAATTAGGAAACTATAACTATGATGTACAATTATGCACCACTAATTGCACCACGTGAGCATAGTGTAACTGCCGCCTTATTAATACACAGGGAAAACTCATGAAGTGCATAATGAGATACAACAGTGAAGGTGAGACAAAATGCAAAGACTTATTTATAATTCATGCTTTCTAGTTTGAACCAGAACATTTTTCATTTTCGTGTTGGGATTCATGGCAGGAGTTAAACCAGTGACTTTCTAGTTACTGGAAAATTCTCTCTGACTTTTTATATATTAAACAATTAGCTGATTAATTGAGAAAAAAGGTGTATTCACTTAAATGAAATGGTCTAGATTTGCAGGGAGCAAAATATGGCCGAAGCAAAACATATCCGCCTACCAAGCCGCCGAAAACAGTTTCTGATTTGTTTAACGTGTACAAATGGAAGCCTGGCGACATGACAACATACAGCACACAATGAGTTCATGTAGGTTTATTTTTCAGAGGCTGTAACCTGTTGGTTTTAAAAATGATCCTGACAAAACAAGAACTTCCTTAAAGGGATAAATGAACACTTTAATCCAACATCAAACTCCGTCTATCCCTCTCCCAGACTGTGGAAATGACGACGACGACGACGACGACGCGCTCTCCACGACGTCTAAAGCGGCAGACGATGAGGAGCAGGAGGAGGAAGCCGAGCTTCAGGCCGTGGCCAAGCACTTTGGCAAAGACCTCGGCGAGCTCACGCTGGAGGCTCTGATCAAACTAGAGGAGAAGAGACCAGAGGAGGAAGAGGAGAACCAGCAGCAGCAGCAGCAGCAGGAGGAGGAGGAGGAGGAGGATGAGGAGGGCGGCTTTCCGAAGAGAAAAGGCCCATCGCTGGCGTCCATCTTGGGTACGATGCCCTCAGCGGCCACTCTGGGCCTCTCCGAGTCCATCACCAAGTGCATCGGAGACGAGAAGGAGAACGGTGAGTGCACCTTGTTTTTTTTGTTTTTTTTTTAAGTTAATGTCGTCAGTTTTATCAAACCAGATGCTTTTTCCACTCGGATCACATCACATTACCAGAAATTAGAAACTGGACTGGAGGTTTTCTCTGATTTCGGGGCATAAAAAATATCTCTCGACTTCCTCTCTGTTTTTTCTTTCTGTTGGCACAATGTTTTTCTTCTTCTGCATTTTGATGTGTCATCAGTGTGATCCGAGCACATGAGGAGGGAGAGGAGCGGATGTATTTAATACATTTCCTCTGTACAAACAGTGGATTGAGCCGAGCCAACTGAAGAATCTGCTGCTGTTAAGAAAACATGCCGGGCGTTATATTGTTTGATTTAGCAAACATCTTTATAAAAGCAGCTTTTCCCGACCCGATGATGGTCGCTGCGGTGATACCGTTCACCCTTGACTGTGTCTGCCTCCTACAGTATCACCATAATAACCCGTAATCACGTTAAAGAACGCTCTCTCAGGTTTAATTGTCATAATTACCTTTTGCTCCCGATAGAAAGTGAGCTGAGCCTCATGTGAAATTTGTCATCCCTCATTATGTTTCACCCTTCTCATACACTGCAGACATGAAGGGAATGTGTGGGAGACGTTCAGGAGACGTGTTCTTCACCCCTGAGGCCTGTTGAGACGTTGGACTGGTGCCAAAAGTTGCTGCAAGTTTTAACCGCAGTTTTGCTATATTGGCGGCACATTTCACGTCGAGCACCGCTCTCCGACAGAGCGTGACGCGTACTGTTTGAGCTCAGGTGAACCGAGACGAGCGGAAATAAGTGGGAACGGCGTTTGTTAGGAGCAAAGTACAGGAAGCGGCACAAGGGGTTTATGGGTGTAAAGTCTCAGTGAGGACTCGTCACAGATCTGGTGACTTTAGCTTCGATCACATTAAAAAATAGTTTGTAACTTGACACTCCTGACAGCAGGTATATTTCATGTCGATCTGACGGCAGTTGAAGACGACTCATAATGACTTGTTGAGAGCTTGAAACATCAACACTCACTGCCCTTTTCCACTGAATGTTACTGGCTCAACACGACTCGCCTTTGTCGTCCGTATCACCTGGTACCTGGTGCTTTTCTGCTGAGGTTCCCAACGAGATGAGCCTTAACCTCCACGTCATGCCCCTCTCTCTTCCTGTCCGTCTTTACACTGTCCGCTATCTGAGAAACCAGCTGGACACGGTGACAGGAGGAAACGGTGCTTTTGTTGGGGATTATTTTCAGTGGCGGATTGATACACATTTGTTGCTCTAGTGAGTATTTGCTGCAGCAGGAGTGTGTGTGTCTGTGTGTGTGTGTGGGATTGAGTCAAAGTACACCACAGTGTGTGATGAAGGAACATGTCAGTGAGACTCAGTCGGGCTCTTGTTGAAATGCGGTCGAGTAACATGAACCTAAATGAACCAAACACAAAAACAGACCCAACGTTTCCACTGCAAAAGAAAAAAAAGAAAGAAGGAAGAAAAAGAGAAAACAAACCGGAGGAGTGATCACACCCTCTGTCAATGTGACTTATTAACGGTTGCAAAAATAAAACAAATACAGGGATCCATCATGCGTTGGCTATAATTACCTAATTACATGAGTAGGATGTTCTGCGTAACCCCCCCCCCCCCAAAAAAACCCTCCTTTATCTGGGTGTGCAGAGGCGTTGATGGATGCGAGCTAATGGTGCCGTGCAGCTACATCTGTCCTGATGAGGAAACCTGTGTTTTTTATGGCTCTGAGTGGGAGGATGGGGGAATCATGGGAGGCCAGGGGGGGTGAAGTGTGTATTGATGGATGTTGTGATGGAAGACGGTGAAGTGGCCCAATGTTTGGAGAACATCCTCCGACTTAAAGGTCACAGGTTTGAATCCCAGCTGAAGCCCCTTGGTTTCCATAAATGACCTGGGTCATTTTTTTTAAAAACGAGTTTTCTTACAAAACGCTTTTAAATTTTTACAAACATTTCCCAAAACTAGAGCGAGTGCAAGAGGATGGAAGTAAGTTTAAGAAAGTAAACTAAAGTTTCATGAATATGCACGTTATTTAGACTTTTACTACACTTAAACATGTGACAAACAACATATGATATATCAATAGAAAGAAAGAAAAATATATGTAAACAGGAAACTTCAGGCGAGTAGAGGAGGATGCTGATGACAGAAGCTGACACTTCAGTGGAGCAGTTTTTAAATTAAAGGTCCCATATAGTATAAAGGCAGATGTCCATGTGTTGTTTGATTATAGATCAGGTCTAGCTTCTATATTAATACTGTGAAAGTATCAAAGCCTCAGTCCACAGAGAAATGCACACAGCCTGTATTCAGAAACTGAGTCTTAAAACCAGCCGTCAGGACTTCTGGAACTTTGTGATGTCACAACAAAGCAGTCACCAAGCCCCGCCCACCTGGACCCACCATCCAAACCTTGCAGGATTTAAACACTTAAACGTGTTCCCTTCCGCAAAACTGAAACTGTCCTGGTCTACATGAAGCTCTGCCTCTCTTCAACATCCACAGCTCAGGTCAAACCGCCCATTAACCCCGCCCCCCCGTGATGCCACTGACCTCATCCCGTCATGAGGGACCACGACAGGGAGAACAACTGTAATGAATCACCGCTCTCCGAATCACAGGCTCTTATGTTAATTGCAACAACATCAAAAAAAAAAAAAAAAGGTTTTTGTTCTAGAGTGACGTTACTTTGAGTCATCCTCCTCGAGGTGATGGATCATGAGGCTCATCGAATGCGACAAAATCGGCTTTAAAAAATGAAAAATGATTGAAGGGTTTGATTGTTGGTGAGTGGGACTGGAGGCTGTTTGATCTGAGGGGAGCCATTCATTCACCCCCCCCCCCCCCAATGCGTCTCTTTATTCTGCCGCACTCGTGTGGGCTGGTTTGTGCAGCAGTGCTGTGTTGCCATTTAGCCCCAGAAATACACTGATTGGTATTTTGAGTAAAAGTGGCAATGCTACACTGTAAAAAAAATACTACACTCTGGTTTGTGCCAATTTTTATTATGTAAAAATTCTACACTGAAAAAATAATTCCTATAAATTTCCTGTAAAAATAAGTCTGAAATAGCAGAACCTGTAAAATAAAGCGATGCTGCTGTTGGGTGGTTTAATGTAACAGAGGTGCTGAAGCTCCTGAACCACAGATGTACCAGATATATTTAAGTTACAGTTTTCTGCCTCAGTTTCCACATTTTCACACGTTTTCAGCCGCCCTTCTCTACCTCTTTCCCACGTTGGATTCAGACGTTAAAGTCACACAACAGTAAAAGAAAATGAACCTCCGTGTTTACTGTGCTGCTGTGCTGTTGATGGGAGTAATCCTGATGTTCCCGGGACTCAGTGAACAGAAAACAAAAACAAATGTTTTCAAAGAACTTCTTCATGAGTCACTTCTTCAGTTTAATTCCTGGGACAGTTTGGTTTTTGGTTTTAAACGGACAATTTATGTGCAAGTCGAGTATTTTTTTTTCCCATGTTTCCTATTCTGTTTATTTGTGTGTATTTTCATTTGTGCGTGCAGGAAAAGGACACATGTGTCAGATTACACTTAAATCAGCGTGTGTGACCAGTTTGTGTGTTGGTTTGTGTTTGTGTATCTCCATGTCCACCGGGAGTGTTTTCCTTCCTCTGTGTATGTCTGGAGGTCGGTCGCACGGAGCTGGATGCAGGAGGAGGTTCTGTGGATTCAGGCTGGTCCTGGTTTGGTTCAGGCTTCGGCTAATTGTGGTGGAAGTGGGAGGGGCAGGAGAGGCGGGGGGATCTTGCCCTCCACCGAGCTCAATCTTTGAAGTATTAAGTGGACAGGGTACCTTGTCATTAGGGCTGAGCCTTTCATCTGTACGTGTGTGTGTGTGTGTGTGTGTGTGTGTGTGTGTGTGTGGTTTTTGTGGACATTGTTAGTGGAGGGCAGGGCACCCGAGGAAGTGAAAGAAGGTGTAATTTTGGATTCTCTCAGGAAAAGAGAAGAAGAAAGAAAACAGTAAAAAAAGTAGGTTGGAACACCAACACAATGACAGTTTGATTATAATAGTGTATTTACCAGGTTTGATACTTACGGCTCATTATTTTCATTTTTTTTTTTTTTATCGATTTTCACCCAATAAAAGAAAAGAACCCAGAACTGGTGACGTTCAGCAGATTTGATTCAGCCAGATTTTATGTCTCAATCATCCATAAATATTCTTGTGATTGCTGCTGCAAGACGACAACAAGCATTTTACTTCATTTATTCAGACGTTTACTTCAGACATTCGTTTCCTCCCGAGGATGAATTGTAATGACTTTGGTAACGTTTTATCCATCGTCACAAACCGGTCAAAAGTTTGTGTTGTTTTTAAAACTTTGGGTTGTGGTTGTGTTTAACGCTAATTAGCAAATGTTAGCTTGAATTCAGCGTAAAGCATTGCTCTTGGTCTTGTTGTCTAGTCTTGTCAAATCTCCTCTGTTATTGAAGGATTAAAGTGAACACCTTTTTACTTTTTTGGTCAAAGACATATTTATTTTATACATTCTGATAATAAAACCAGACTAAAAACAGGATGTAGGAGAGATCGGGTAAGAGGAGTTGATATCCGTTCTTATACCTTTTGCACTGAAAAACACTGTAGTTTGAAGAAAATGAATAATTTGCAACATACTACCTTAAATGCTCCTATTTTTCCATCCATTGCTCCAAAATAATTGACCATTAATACCACCCTGATTACCCTGTTTAGCAATTCAGGAAGAGCACTGAAGACAGTTAGTGCTTCTCTTGCCTCATGTTCATCCTTTCTGTCGATCAGCCCAAATAAAGTCCAATAATTACTTCATTATTTATTAATGGAACTAATAATTTTATTCCTGTTCAGTAAAAGTAATAGATTAGTACTGATGTGTCAGCGGCAGTCTTTCCTAAAGATTATGAAGTGTGTGAATCCTCTTTGGGAACTCTCCCGTCACTGAAACAGCTGGGTCTTCCTAGTCAA